TCTAAATAATGGCTTAAAAAGTAGTGCATCTAGCTGCCCTGGTGGAGCACACCCCCAGAATCTGGTTTGGGATAAGCCCTGAACGTCTGGCTGTGCCACTGAACATACAGCTCTTGTATCAGAACTCTTGTTACTGCTCTGATACATATATATACATATATATATATACATATACATACATATATATCTGATTTTTGCAGCAAGCCACAATGACACCAGAGGACCTTTTGAAGACTCTGGAGGATTTAACAGCCGATGAATTCAGGGACTTCAAATGGTATCTGCGGCATCCTGACATCCTGGAAGGGTACCCAACCATCAAAGTGTCCAAACTGGAGACAGCAGAAAGGCGGGACACAGTGGATCTGATGGTGAACAACTATAAACTCCCTGGAGCTCTGAAGGTGACCAAGAAGATTTTAGAAAAGATAAACAGAAACGATCTGGTGCAGAGTCTGTCAGGCACCAGCTCAGGACCAGAAGGTCAGTCACACTGTTTTCTTTCATTTATATGTTCATGCGGGTTGACAACACAATACTTGTAAAGTACAGAAGCTCACTGTATTTACAAAAAAAGAAAAAAATGGTGGCCTGATCTCATATTACGAGTAAAGGTTTAAGTTATCAGTCATTGTTATTTGAGAGGATAGAGGTGACTCTAACTGATTTAAAGGTCCAGTGTGTAACATTTCAGAGGATCTCTTCGCAGAACACCTGTTTTCCTAAATAGGTCACAGTGACTCTACCAAAGTCATATTTGGCCAGGTTCAAAGTGAGGGAGGCTTTCTTTAACCTCTCGAAAATTATCCTTGGGGTTTTGGTTTGTGCGGACCAAGTGGTTGAGTAGGCCACAATGTCATCAAGATAAACTACACCGTTTTTCACACCAGCTAGGACTATGTGCATGAGACGTTAGAACATGGCGGGTGCATTTTGGAACTCCATGCACTGGAGCTTGAGACAGCTAAGCTGTTTACCAGCAGGTAGGTGTCCTCCTGCTGAAAAAGTGCACGTTTTGTTGGATTAACGTGGTAAGCGGTCATCCACATCACATACTGTTCTAGTCCGACATTTCTTTCATACGTTATTCTGGTCACTCCTTCAGAATCAGAGCTACCACCTTGGCTACCTGCAATGGCATCCCTGAGCACCTAATACAAATCAAACTCTTTTCTGTAACATTCGTTCAAATCTCAAACTCATCCCAAGTAAATGGAGGCTTTGGGGGTCCGTTGTACCCAGGTACTACGGCGGATTCCCAAAACAAGCTCCCCCACAACACAATGGCATCAGACAAATTCAGCATAATGCATATTTTTCGTTCTGTTCTTTAAGCATATACTGTTGATGGTGTCGTCCTTGCTAGTGAAACAGTCTTGGACAGAAGGTTGTGCAGAATTCACAGGGATAAATTTAATTTCCATTAATTGTTGTGATTGCATCATTGCAACTTCCTGGAGTAGAGAAAGCATCATTCTATCTAACTTTACCTCATTTATGGTCACCATTTCTTCCATATCTCTATGTCGGCAGGTAGTTGGACCCTTCTCAAATTAACACCTATTTAGATAAAAAAACAAAAAAGAATGATTTTGAGTTTCCCCTATTTTTGATTACCAACTACTACTAGTACATGCTGTGAGGCCATTATTGCTTAAGCAGTTACAGGCTTACAGCTTTCAGGGATTCATTGTGACTTTAACTAATCTAAGAGTTAAGCGTAATTTGGATAAGGTCAAACGTTTATAATGTCTATCTCTCTCTCTCTCTCTCTCTCTCTCTCTCTCTCAGGATCAGTGGATGTCAATGATGTTGGAGAGACTTCAGAGAACAGAGGACCTTCCTCCACTCAGAGTGAAAGTAAAGCTGCTGTATTCTCGTGTATGTATGGAAGCCCCAAAAGACCAAGTAGTTCTTAAGTTTGAAAAGGTTAAATGTAAGTAAATTTTACATTCTGTAT